CCAATGGCTTCTTATCTTTTGGATTGCGTTTCGATCCAAAGGATGGGATGTCATTTTTGTTACTACTTTATCACTATGCTCCTTTTAGTAATATGTAGATATAGCAGTAGTTTTGTATTTTTTGATTGATTTGCATACTATCATTCGATCATCATGGGCAAATCGCGATTCTTATTAGTGTTGCGATAAATGAAATACGGTTTGATTTAGAGTTGCGAAAATTAATTTCAATTTGAAGTTAGTGTTGCGTTAAAATAATTATCGCGTTTACTATAGTATTACAAATTACAAAATATCGCGATTAGTTTTAATTATTCGATAATTTTTTTTTATAGAGTTTTCTTTTTTTTTTTTACTTAAATTGTAAAATCATTTATAATTTTCCATTGTTGCAATTCATAATATTGAAACGTTTATAACTTTTTATTTGTACGTTAATAGTAAATTTCTTTAAAATTTATTTTTATTATATTATATTAGTATTTTATGATTGTTCCATCACGTTATTTTAGTGATACTTAGTGTTGCGTTAACAAATGATCGCGTTTCTTGAAATAGTGTTGCATTTAAAAATGATCGCGATTTTTATAATATTTCGTTTACAAATTGCCCAATACCTTTCCACAATATCGTGGAATTTGATCCTATTCTTGGATCACTGTGCAGCTAAAAAAGTTGCATAAGAATGATTTGACTACAGTCTCTTCATTCTCAATTAATTTTACATCTTTTATCACTAAAAAAAGAAATTTTCCAGGTAAGCTTGAAAAAAATTATTTATATTTGGCGTAATACGTGGTATAAGAAACATTTTGAATTTTCTTGAGGTCAGTTTCAGAATATGTGTCATAAAGTTCCATAAAATGTTACACATTTATTTTGTTTCTCTTTTATATGATTTTTAATGAGTGGTATATAGACAAAGATAGAGAAATTTATCTCGTAATTAGAAATATAAAAAAAAAAAATAGGATATCAATATATTATCAATAGGTAAATTAAATTTAGCGCCAATTCTGTGTTTGGCTAAATTCAAATAACTGTTGGCATTAAACTTTGAACGCGTGTCGTTTTTTATATTAATAATCTCATCTTTCTGAAGAAGATGAAATATCTTCTTTTCCTACAAGATAAACTGAATATCTAAACTAATTCTTTCCAATCAACAAATCTTTTTATCACGTATATATATATACATATAAAGGCAAGAATAACTTTTAAAACTTTTACGTATCTTATTTTACTTCACAATGTTGGTACACCGTAAATAACGACGTTCTAATGATTTACTTAGGTTTTTAAAGTAATAATTTAATTGTTTTAACGAAATAAAATGTTAATCAATAAAGTTATTACCTTTAAGGCCTGGGAATTGCATCGTCACGAGAAGTAACGAAGAGAATTCAAGGATTTTTATGCGGCTACTAAATAATAAAATTAGTACGCTGTTAACAGTACGCCGTGCACCGGCGGTTAAAGCTAATTTAATGATTTTCGTTATTGGTTCGAGCATCGTAAAGCTATCCAAACCCATCTGTTGCCCGCGTAGATTTTAATATCGCTCCACTCATTTGCACCGCCTGAATCGAACCGGATCGCTTCGGTTTCGTTTCGCTTCGCCGTTTTAACGTTTTCAATTCTCCGACGATTTGTTTATAACTCTTTCGCCATCGTCGAACGGCTATCAATTTATCGCATCCTGCAATTTTCATCACTCTGTTCAATTTCGAAAGTTGTTGAATGAAAGGAGGATGGGAAATTGTTGACTGACTTAAGTCGAATTTATCGCAAATATTTGCGACGTTTAATGTGTGGCTTGTATTATGTCTTAGGTTTAGTTCTAGAATTTCAAAGTATATTATAGTATGCTTGTAATTACGAATATTTAGAACGAATTAAACTGGCAAGGGAATAGGTCACGATATTAAATCATCGTTCCATTTAAAGTTTAAGCAACGCGATATTTCAAATTTCCTTTCCAAACTCGTTCGATTAATAAATCTTATTCCTAACATAAACTCTTCGAGAAGATTATCCACTCTTCACTAGGCTTGGTCATTAAGCAAATAAACTGTTTGAAAAATAATCTGAATTGAAATTAATAACTTAATTAATGATCGACGAATAAACTAATTAGTTAATGAAACAATCATTAAAACAATTATCACCTTTTTATATCCGCGAGTGGGAAGTAGAATAGAAATAAGGATAATATCGGGGAGGGGATGGGAAAGCGAAATTTTCGAACCAAAGATCGCAATTAAATTATCATTAAAACAACACGATTAAAAGTAACGATTCTTTACAATACTCGTGACAGTTTTCCACTTTCACAGTTTCACCGTGTTCTTGAGGTAGTACATCAAGTCACCAGCTTGTTCAATAATTCCGCTAGGTATCGTAACGGAACAATGAGACGAGTATTGGCCTTTCTTCGTTGTCGTTGCCAGCTTTTCC